TGGTCCAACACAACATCGCAACCCTGCCTCAGCCACCCTACAGTCCCGACGTTGCCCCACCAGACTTTTTCCTCTTCCCCCGCCTCAAAACCGTCCTGAAAGGACACCATCATGGCTCGGTGGAAGCGTTACAACAGGCCGTGACGAGGGAGCTTAACAGCATTCCGGCTGCCGCCTTCCAGGAAGCGTATGAGGGCTGGAAATCCCGCTGCCAGCGGTGTGTGGATGCAGAAGGGTCCTACTTTGACAAATATTGAGCGCATATATTATTTCTGTCAATAAATATTTTGTAATTGACTCAGTCCGACTACTTTAAGGACAGACCATGTATGTATGTATGGTGATTATGTGTATGTGTTTGCGTATGAATACGCTTTCTTCTTTTCGTAGCGATAGATATAACGTTGACTTCACAACTTTCTTTCAGTTAACTAATATAAGTAAAATTAAGTTAACAAGTATAAAATTAAAATTAGTTACTAGCTAATTAATTACTACTAAATTAGTTACTACCTTCAGCTTGATTTCATTTCCGAACCAGCAGTAATAAAAAATCGGAGCCAGTGTGGAAGCCACAACCATTATATCCTGTATATAAGAAATGGTATTGGACGATTTCAAAGCCATTTGAATTAAACTATAGCACATTACTACAGTGATCATTGCAAACTCACTAGGAATTATTTTGGCAAATCTGTCATTTAACATATACGCATATCTGAAATTACAGAGAACATCTTCAATTTATTTATCTTTTTTATCAATATTAAATATATAAATTTACATTACCTAGCAGCTTTAAATATTGAAACATAAAAAACATCTTATACTTCTATTATTCAACAAGTAGTTTTATAATAGCTTTTCTAGTAGCTCTTTTAAAGAAAAGTTATCTGAGATGGCAATTATGTTCAATTCTGTTCAATTGAAGATAAGTTACAGTTTTGAAAACATATTTCTAATACAATATTATTAATATGCAATTATGGTAGATAGAAATGTATATTTTTTTACAAGAAGTGCAATAATTATTTTCACAAACCTTAAACGAAAATTTGAATAAATCTATGAACTATATAAAAATAATTTCTCTCTCTCTCTAATTTACAATAATTTTACATGTAGACTACACCTCTTTAAATTATGGTTAAAGAGTCTCAATTACGGATAGAGGAAATATTATTAAAAAGTTAAAAATTTTGCAACTATCACCAACAAGAAATTGTAATAAAAACAAATTCATCTTAAAGAAACATAACATTCTAGGATTAATAAAACTTACTCAAATATATGTATGTGGTGGCGTACGCAATCGCGTAGATTTTCTCGACCATTTGCAACGTTTAACAAACGGTATTCTAAAATCTCGATCTGGCAGCAAACGTGCAACAATAATCCGCAAATTAAATTGTCACATGTAGGATGGATCAGACCGATAAATATCAAAGTTAATATCTGATGAGCGTAGGTGAAATAAAATAGCGCAGATATTGTGTAGTCAAATGGTAACCATGCTTTGTACATTAAAGCTCCATTCTTAAAATCCGTGAATAGCGAAAGCAAAATCATGTAAAATACAGTTACAAAAATGAGGACGAGGTAACATAATGTATTATTCCTAGAAAATTAATAATATATAAAATACATAATTAAATTAGTATATTTTGTTTATTTCCTACAACAACAACACATGTCGAAACACAAAAATTTCCAGAAAACAAGTCTTAATGTTTTGTATCATTAAAACTTTTATTTTTTGCAATTTTAGTGTAACGACTAAAGAGACAAGAATTAGCTCTTCATTTAAAGATTCAGAGACTAGTTTTTTGCAAACTAAAAATGACAAGTTTAAAGTTATGTTGTTGTAAATGAGCGATTTATCGATAATATAAGTGATAACTCACGTTATTCTCCTGTCGAACTTCTTTCGAATTATGTTTTCACTCGCATTCATTGGTTTGAATGGTTTTTCGTCGAGAGTATCAATTAATTTTATAATACTGTCGTGATATATCCGTATAATGATTGCCTTGTAGCAAGCCAGAAGTGAAATCAAAACGTTGAACAAGGCATCACCAAATGTGTCATCAGTATTAAATATCAGCTCCATAATTTGGGTTATTGCAAATGTATATAAAATTATAATTATTGACGCTGTATAAGCGTTATACATTATGTGTCTAAACAGCGACGTCCACGATGTTGGTCGCCAGCATCCTGCGACCGCTAAAACCGTGAGCGTTAATTTCATGACAGGCATTTCGCTTTTCTTCCCAACATCACTTCTCAACATCCACTTGCCCAACATCAAACACTGTTTTGATTAATGTATGCACTTATTTACTACAAGTTTCAATTATTATAATAATTATAAACTGATAATAAAGCGATAATTAACAGATCGAGATTTTCAATTGCGTGTTGCATGTGTATAAATCATATTTACAATATTAAATTACGAAATATTGGATTGTTTAGTTTTTCTTGTGATATATAAATAATTTCTAACTAGTTGCTTTCATGTCTATTATATATATATATTAATAATTATATATAAATATCAAAAGTTAGTATAATAATAGCTATAAAAAGATATAGATAGTTATGAGTAAAATATACCAAAGTACATCTATATTATACAATATTATTATTATATTAATTTAAAATAGTATATTTATTATACATTAAACTTACGAAAATTTCAATCGACTTGTTGTACAAACTTCAATGAATACTTGAAAAGTTTTTAATCGAATATTTGCTGTACGTTATATGACGAATCAAATAATATTCTAAGAACAACAATCTCGTAATGTCTATAGTCTTTCTATTCGAACGACATTTCGCTCAACTTCCCTCTTCATATAAAATATTTAATCGATGATACATTATTATCATAATAACAGACTGGTAGCGATGTTCTTCTTGTGATATATAATTTCTTGTGATATAATATTCTCGTACATTGAGAAGTGATATTCTTTCCAAATAATACCTTTTACAAAATTGCGTAATGTATTATTATTTTTGCGGAGACAATCGTGGAATAAAAAAGAAGTCAAATACGCAGTCAAACATATAGAAAAATAAATTCTTCAAATTGTCATCAATTCAGCGGTAACCGTGAACTTTGTCCGAGATACTTGGTTACAGTTTTTACTTTGTTATACATTATGAAATATTTTATTTTTACCTATCGACAATGTTGCAATATTGTTTAATAGCACAATAGAGAAGTACGAGAAAATAAATTCTTCAAATATTAGCTATGCAGCGACTATAGCTCACCTGTATGAAATTAATAGCATCCATAGACTCTGTTACAAGCTGTGTTGTCACTTGTCGTCACTTGTCGTCACTTTTCCTGTTATAATATCTACAATATATCATTATATATGATATTATAACATCGTGTACACTTTGGGATATAAAATTTTTCGTTATTTGAATTCATTATAATTAAGTGTGGAAAGTACTTTAATTATTTTTACAGATTTTACAGACATTAACATTTGTACTAGTTTTTGTAATTATAACTTTTAATATTATAAATATTTAAATATTTTTGCACACAATAATAATTTCAAATAATGCTTCATGTTTTTTAAGATCATTTATGTTTATACTTGGTATTAGAATATTATCGGGTAATCCGTTTTACATACTTTTTATAACTTTTCATATTGAAACAATAAAAAGTAGAATCTGTTGTATGATATAGTAGATACTCTATAACATACTGAAGTGGGTGGTCCTATTGCTTCCTATTGCTCTCGATGTCGCCGAGAGAGAGAAAGGCTGTTGGGTGAATCTCTGTCTCTTTCTTTATTATGTGATTGATCGACGATTTTGTATCTCACGATTTCTATCGCACTCATATAAAATGAGATAGAAAATCGTTGACCAATTAGATAGTAGAGAAATTAATAATATTTTTACTGCTTTGTATTCTATTGTATTCTAATAATTAAATTAATATTGATAAGGATTTATTATTAATGAGTACACGTTATGTCGAAATGACAAATTCGAAATAAAAACCTGCTAAATCTGCTATCATAATAATTCATTTTTATTGCATTTTAATTACAGATATAATTGTAATTATATTTGTATATCTTTATTTTAAAAAATCATTTTCTGTACTTTATTTACACTGCTCAAAAGAAATATGGCATAGAAAAATTTTATGCAAAAATTGGTCAACTTTGACTGACGGTAACTCCGCGAAAAATCATCGTAAAATTATGTTCTTTTTTTAAATTAAAGCTTGAAATCTCTACTTTAAGATACTATAGTTAATTTTTAGGTGTGTTGCATCCCTACCACTGTAACACCTTAAATGTGAGGGCATGTTTGTTATATTGAAAATTGCAAAGTTTGACGGAGTGCATGGGCTAGGTACATTTTTCTTCGGGGATACTGTTTGCAGGCACATAAAGTACAAACCTTCCTCTTCAATTTAAAAAAAAAGCAAGTCGCTACCATTTTTTGTCGCAAGGACACAGTACTTTAAAGTAACCCTTGCATTATTGGCATATACCGCCGGTATTGGCATTACCCGATGTGCACTCCTGAAAAGAGCCGTTTGTGTGTGTGTGTCTGTGTCTGTGTGTGTGCGCGCGTGCGCGTGCGCGTGCGCGTGCGTGTGCGCGTGCGTGTGCGTGTGTGCGCGTGTGTGTA